GCCTACTTTAGGAACCCATCTGCTCTGGCATGGGTCTCCTCCATGGGCTACAGATGGATCCCTGCATCCTGTTAACCTCCATGGACTGCAGAGTGGCAGCTCCTTCACCATGGTCTTCACCACAGGCCGCAGAGGATCCTCAGCTCTGGTGCCAAAAGCACCTCCTCCCCCTCCTTCTGCACTGGCTTTGGTATCTGCATATTTGTTCCTCTCACATATTCTCACTCTTCTCTGGCCCCAATTACTTCTGCACAATAGCTTTTTTTCCCGTCTTAAATATGTTACCACCACTGATGAGTTCAGCTTTACTGCAGTGGTGGGTCTGTCTCAGAGTTGCTGGCATTGGCCTTGCTAAACAGAGGGAAACTTCTAGCAGCTCCTCACAGAAACCACACCTATAGCCCCGCCACCACCAAAACCCTGGTCATGCAAGCCCACTACAGCATAACATTTGCGCCAGAGCATGGTGTTGTATGAGCTGTTCCGCTACAGAGTTGTTTATTTTTTGTAGCTGAAGAAATGGCCTCAATTTTCAAGACCGTATTTGTTGCTATATTACTATATTACTTCATCTAATGTAGAGTGTCATTACTCAGATGGAGATTAAACAACAGCAATAGATCAACAGAAGACCGTAGAGATGGTTCTTTGAGTATTTGTCAGTGTGCCTATGTGTTACGCATGGAAGTGTGTAATCTCTTGAACAATGCTGTCAATTGAGGTACAAATGTATATTGAATTTCCTTGTCAAAGCTAGCAAGTTCAACTCCTGTATTTTTTAATTCTCTGACAGCAACATGTATTCTGTATCATAGTTGAGTTGATTTGCAGTTTCTATACAAAAGAATATCAGGAATGCATTATTCACTTTTGTCTTGATTAATTCTTAATTTGGAATGTAAATTTCATGCTGAAAGGCTAAAAAAGGCAAATGGCACATCAAGGCTTGCACCAGGGAATTCTGCTGCATGCCTGTGCAGAGCCCTGTTCATGCACTAACTGTGAGTGAACTGTGAGGGAGTGTCAGTGACTTGATCTGGGTTACAGCAGACATATATGTCAAGATAGATTCCCTAGCTCTATTTCATGTGTTGTGTACAGAAAATGCTCTCCAGAGATGTGTATTATGTTACATATCACTGCATTGGCTGACCTGAATCTTACATATTATCTGACTTGGGTCACTGGTAGCTAGTCTTAGAGCAAGGCCAGGTTATCACAAAGAAGGTTGGACTGAATAATGGCATGTAGAGTGTTGTTGGTTGGCACTGTTGCATAAGTGAGTATTCATCAAAACTTTCTCTACTAGAACTGAGACACCATTCTTAGGCTCTTTCAGAAAAATGCCAATACGTAAGATTTTGAGTGAAACATCATTGTTCATAGCACTTCTGGAAATGTTATATACTGGTCTTATAAAGTAGATGTTTGATTTTTGTGGGGTAATGTATCAATCTCCTGCACTCTCGGAACAGATGTTTCCACCACGGTTTTTGAGGCTTTGAGTACTGGGAATTGGCATTGATGCATAGTTGAAGGAGAAAGTATGCCTGCTTATGACAATTTTCCCAGTTTCTGAGATCTTTCAATCAGTCTCTACATAGAAAATTGTTCTCCATTCCTACTCTGAGAATCCTCAGTTAAGGCAGATTTTGAATGGAGGAAACTGAAGACTGCAATTGTCTCGTGTCCTTCTAACAGACACATCTGGTCAAAAAAGCACTGAAGAGCTCACTTGAGGCACCTAAATGTCCACCCTTAAACCACATGCACAAAAGTGAGTCAGGAGAATAAATTTATTTTAGTTGAAGTCACTGACTGCTCTTCAGCTAAGTATTAAGTAATGAAAGGCATCATTAAAGAGAGTAAGAATTGAAAAGTACTGGATAAATAGAAAAAATGCTCTAATAATTCCTCAAATTTTCCAGGTTTATTTGGGACATAAATAGGACTTTGTGTTATCAAATGGACAAGTGAAGAAAGGCTGTAAACTATGCCAAGGCACCAATGTTTGTTAGATCAAATGAGTATATACTCTGTGCTTTCTCTGAAACAGTTGGAGACTGATTCTTTTTATTTCCATGCCTGTTTTGAGTAACCAGATTCTCAGTTTTTATTTATGGTGCATAACTTCTCTGACTACATGAGAACCAGTAAGGTAACTCCATCTGTACTACCTCGGAAGCTGATCTGGAAATTCTTACTGTCACTGATATTGCGACACCTTGGAAAAATCACACAAAGTAAAACTGCCCAAGTTCTACTGGTGTAGAATATTTACATAGAAGTTTGCTTATGCTACCTACTTAGGAAGTTGTTTAAGGCAGTATTGTTGTCATATTCTGTAAAGAGAGTCATGTACTCTGTAACTTCTTCTTTTTTAATATCAATTTTTTTTGACATTTGATTGTTTCAGTTTGTGGGCGGGTGAATGTTGATTATAAGGAGATGAACTGATATTTCTGAAGCCCTTTGAAAGATGATAATTTAAGCTCAAGGTTGCCTAGGAAATTCTTAAAGGGAACTGAAATTCACTAGCCATACAGTAGTGATAACAGAGGATCGGACAAAGCTTGTAATCCTTAAGAACTTCTAGTCTGTCTACTCTTTTGTATCCTATTTTAAGAAGTACTGGGTTAGCTAGTCTCCCTTTGAAAGGAAGAGGGGTATTTTTCCTTTCCTGTCTGTGCTTCCAGGCTTCTTGTGGTGGAGGCGTGTGAGGGGTTACATGGTGTAATATACAGGAGGATCGCACCAGAGAGCTTGTGTAGTTCATGCAGAGACAAGAGACTGCAGTAAAGAGCATTGAGAAGGCAATCATACCTCAAAGGAGGTAGAATGCAGAATTAGAGATGTTAGAGATCAGAGGCAAATGAGAAGTGTTTGCTTCTATTCAGCAACTAACTGTAATTAGTTACTCTAAACATAATGCAAAGGAGAGAAGAAACTTATTAGACTAATGTTAAATGTTTTTGAGGTTGTGGAAGATGCAATCTGGTACATCTGCATATGACACTTTGTCCCTGGCTTCACTTGAAATGAGGTTTGAAAATAAATACAAAACTTTTGAAAGCAACAAAATGCTGTTAAGAGTGCTGCCAGCTTTATTTCTGTTTTTTTGCATTCTTTTCAATTTCTCAGTCAGAAAAGGATTTGTAAACATCACACAAGAGGGAAGTGAAATTATGGAGTTTACATGTAATTAAGGTATAAATATTATTCTCACCAAAAGCAGAACCAATGTAGTCATGAGCTCAGCAATCTCCTGGAGGCAGTGGAAAACCTGTGTGAGAGAACTAGAGCTATCATCCTAGAATTGGTTCCAGGACTGGAAATCTGAATTTTTGAACAAAGAGCAAAATAGTCTGAGGCCCAGGGTAAAGGCTTCAACTCTCATGGGAGAATTATTCAGCAGTGATGAGGAGTGGTGCAATCAAAGTATGTCAGTTTGAAGTGGAAGGTTTTACAAACCTTTGCAAAAAATTTTGTGTGCCTGTTTTCTTCATAGCGCACAATCAAGCCTTAAATTCTCTGTGACATCACAGCTATAATGAAAATATTTAGAATAATGACAGTATAAGCTCCTGAAAGAAAATGATATGAAAAGAAGGATTAAAAAAACAGTTAGTAAAGCTGAAGCCACTTGTGAAACTGTTCTGTAAAAGAAAATTTAAATAGGTAGAAATGGAACTTGAGGCATAGATTTCAGAGCTATTTGTTTTACAGCTCTTTAAAACTGCAAGCAATGGAAAAAATGTGATTGGACAGAGTGTTTTTAACTAAGCGCTTTTTAAAGCTTTTAACGTAAAAATAAATAATTCAAAAAGCTATAAAAGTAATTCCAGCATTTTATATGTTCATTTCTTCCTTGTCTTCAGTTATTTCTTCACTGCTGTTCATTTGAAGCTAAGTTATTCACCATAAAACTGCTGCTGAATGTTGACAGTTTTTTTGCAGTTGTTTTGTATGTTTCCTTCTACCTGGATTATTGGCAAATGTTTATTGAATTGATAATAGTTCTCTTGAGAAACTATTAAAATGGATTAGACTTAACATGAAGCATATATTAATTTAATTTTGCTACATTTTGCTTGCTTGTAGACAGATATTTTTGTCCATATTTTATTCAACACTGATAAAACTGTCATCAACTTTATAGTGGTTTTGTAGCAATATGTGACAATTTATTATAGGAGGAGCCCCAAAATGTCTCTGCGTTTTCCTAAAGTGGGTGAAGGCAGTCATGTTCTGAGGGAATGTGATGAATCAGCTTAATGTACTTCATGAAACATTTCTCTGTCATTGGAATTTTCTTTTTCTGAAATAAACAAGTTTTCTCAAATGCATCATTAGAAGAGGACTATATGCTATAGACCTTTTTTTATCTGCAAGTTTCATTCAAAAGCGTTCACATTTTCCATCCCACGTGCACAGTGATTATTCTAATTGACACCTACATATGACACCTGTCCATATGATCCAGCATGCATATACTGCTCCTTCTTAGATCTGATTGTTCCCCATTACTCCCTGGCTATAACATTTGTCTCTTTTTCTCCTTTGGAAAATGAGTGTCAGTCTCCATAAAGAGTTGTGAAGTGCCATTCTGGGTGAACAGAATGATTTGTCTGGTGCTTCTTGTCAGGATGCTGCATGTTTCATCGATAAGAAATTCAGGGCAGAGTACATGGCGGGATAGGAGGTAGATCTTGGAGGGATTAAGGAGTGGATGAGTGAGACAATGTCATGGGTAAGAGTGCAAATTGTAAACAGTAGAGCTAGTGGCATACTTTCTTACGCAGTATGTGGAGCAGTCAGCTCATGACACAGGTGTCAAAGCACTTTATTGTATGCTTGTCCTGATGCATCATTCTTTTAGACTTCTGTGCCTGTATTCACACACAGACTTCATATAACATTGTTTTGTCTTCTTTGTTAGCACACATGACAGAATCTTCATTTCATGACTGCAACATAACCATTTGTCTATTTTCTCTAAGAACTGCCTGAAGCTACCTTAGTTGAAGAGAAGGTTCAAGAGACAGAGGCATGGGCTCAGCCTCTGGTCTACCTTTGGAAGACAAGAGTACCTGATTTCAAAGCTGAAAAACAATACAATGCAGCTTGTGCAAAAAAAGAACCTCACTGTGCCATTTGCACTCTTTTCATGCCATACTATAAGGTAAGCATGATTGTCACAGCTCCAGGTCCAGGTGAAGTGCAAAATGACTGCTCAGCTTCTTAATTTCCAGTAAATTAAGATGCAGATATGTTTATGCATTTCATTTGTAAGAGAGGTAAACTCACTATTTTTAAAATTAGAACCAATACTCCATTCACCTGCATTTACCCTTGATTGCAGGCAGTATATGCCTTCTACTACCATTTATACAGGATCAGTGTAAGTGTAAGTATGCTTACCTTTGAAATTACACTTTTTTGAGATGGTGAACCCGAATGAGTTTGTATCTCAGCTATTTCCTTCTATATCCATCTTCAAATATTTTTGATTGAGCCTCTTCAATGTTTCCTTCCTGCAGTGTTTTCACAGTACTTAGACCTTCTCAGGAATAGTCTTCGCACAGTAACTGTCTAATGTATAGCACTGTTTGATCCTGGCTTGTGGAATTAGTGTGTAAAATGTCAGCTGAAAATGCTGGTGTAGCACTATGTTACCAATTCTGAAGCTGATAAACTGGAATTCCTCAGCACAGGAAACAGGAAAATACCTTTATTGCACTAGACCCTGTTAAAGGGCTCAAGGGGGTCAGAGGTACAGTACCATTGCACACTGCTGCAGTAACACTAGCTTGCAGGCTAAGTGGTATTCTGGATTTCACAATTATTTGAACAATCAAGGTAGAATGACTGTGATAAATACCTAGAAGCAGTTAATTTTCTCATACAACTGCTATACTGTTAGTGCAAAAGCTGGGAGGAGAGGAGTTGTTTCATCATTGTCAAAAGGAAGAGTGAGATTCTCCTTTCTTTTACTTAAATATAAATTTTGTTTATTTTCCAGACAGACAATCATGATGAAGAAAGTTCTACTTTCAGGGAAGCAAACTCAGCAGAAACATTGATGGCAGAAAATGAAAAGACCAAACCTCTTATTCCAGAGATGTGTTTTATTTATAGTGAAGAAAACACTGAAAACTATCCAACAAATGCCTTTATTGAAGAGGATGGAACAAGTCTTCTGATTTCCTGTGCAAAGTGTTGTGTACAAGTTCATGCAAGTAAATAATCTAATTGTTCAGTTGGCAGAAATGTAATTTCAAATTTTGTTTTATTTATAAATAGTAGTTAGCTAGACTTCTGGCATGTCTGTAAAAGTACTTGAGGAGCATTTCAATCTGGAATGCTTTAATCACTGGCTAAATTTTTTTGAAAACTACATTACATTTTCTATTACTTTTTAATGGTTGCTCTGAAAATAGTGATGAATTAACTTTCCTGTAAACCTTCAGTAATCACAGACTTGTGATTCTTGCTTCTGTTCTGAGCAACTAAATTACTCTTTTGCTTCACATATCTTAAACCACTGTGTGATGTCCTTATTAAGTAGTCAGGGTGAAATTCTGCAGGACTCGTGAATATTGTTGTTAACTTTAGGTGTGTGGTAATTTCCTTTACCTGGCACTCTTTTTAATGCAAGAGTGACTGATAAATTCATGGAGCTTCTGCAGTATATTCTATAGACAGTAAGATTTGAATAATTAACTCTAAGAAGTCCATGAGATATTCAGAAACATGGTATAATTACATAGAATAAATGTCAGTACCTTAAGTCAGCTTGCCCATTTTTACTGCAGGGAGAATTGGTGATTTGCTGCTGTACTGACAGAAATAAGAAATTCCCTGTGATTTGGGTTTTTGGGTGTTTGGAGTTTTTGTTGTTGCTTGTTTAGGGTTTTGATTTGGTGGGGATTTTTGTGGATTTTTCTTCTTTTCATTTTTTTGTTTGTTGAGTTTTGGGATGAGTGCCTCTCAGTCTAATTTATATATTTCATAGACTATGGAATTAGTAGTAAACCTAGATTTTAAATATGTCCTCTGTCACAGGACATGTTTTACTATTGTTTATATACAATTGAATTGTATGCCATCATTGCTAGAAAGGCAGAATATAGTAATCAATCCAGCATTCTTGTTCTAGGTTGCTATGGTGTTCCTTCTTATGAAATCCAGAAGGAATGGTTGTGTTCTCGATGCAGAAAAAGAGCTTGGACAGCTGTAAGTTTCACATATTGCTTAGTTATCTATCATATTAGAGATTAAAGGAGGTGGGGGGTAAAGCAGCACTTTCATTATTTCATGTGGAATGCAGTCTGCTTATTTTTTCTGAACACTCTGCTGGAGAAAAAGTATTTTCAAAATACAAATGGATTTCAGTGTAAAATGTAATGGCAGTTTGATAGGCAAACTTGGACTTGTTTTATAGACTGATGGAAAGGATTGGCTCACAGAGTACAGTTGTGTGAAAAACACTGCTCAATGAAAAAACTGAAAATTCAAATGCACATTAAGAGAGAGAAAAAACGAAATTTCTCCTGAGTAGGTATATCCAATTTTCATTTTTCAAGAGTAACCAGAACACCTTGTTACAGCTTTCTTCCAGACAATCACGATTTTCAGGATTTCCTGATCTACTTTTGTGACTAGTGTTCTAGAGTCAAGGAAAGGATGAGGGGAAAAGCAAAAGCCTGTTCTAGTAAGTGGCAGGTTGTGATTAGCTCAGAATCTACCTATCAGTTAAACAAACAGGGTTAGAAAGTCCTGCTGCTCTAGGAAAATGTTAATTTCTTTTCAGAGAAGATAACAGTTATGATACGCAAGTATGGAGTTCTAAGACAACATTCCTATTCATGAAATACCATGCATGACAGCAATAGGATTGAATCGGATGTTTTTGTTAAAAACACTGAAAAGTTTAGAATGTTGCCTTGGAACCTGATGTTAACTTCAATATAACAGTAATGCATTTGAGGAGAAATTTGGAGAGACTTTGTCTTTTGACTACATGTCTTAAAGTACATGCTTTAAAAGCAAAAGTCACTGAAAAAAATAGCAAACCAAAATTCAGTCTTATCATTTGTTAATTCTGTGTTGTAGAAAATGTAAAATTGTTCTAGAGTTTTAAGGTTATTGTACAAATATTCTTGAAAAGAAGAGGACATTTAGATAGCAGGAATAAGTGAAAGAAAAGAACAATAATAAGGTGATTGACTCCACTCATTTATATTCGCTATGGGTCAATAAAGGGGGAACTGAGTAATACAGTAGAAAAAGGAGAATGTTGGGGAGAAGATTAAAGCTTAACTTGAGTGGAATTTTTCTTTGGCAAACTCATAGGGGAAGAATTTACATTACTTTGAGAATAATTATTCAAATGTTACTGAATACATTTGGTTTTATTCTGTTATGATGCATGTTTCTGAAAATAAGGAGGATCTGAATTTTAGGGAAAGTACGTTTTTAGTCAATTTGTTTGAGGAGAGGAGATGAAGCAGTGAAAGAGATATCAAAGCCATACAGAAAAGTGCTGAATGGAGGTTTCAGAATTGGATTTTTGCAAAAGCACACTCTGGGAACTGGAGAGAAGGCCCAGTGTATTTCTGAATTATATGTGTTAGGATGCAAGAAGGTAATAAGACTGAAATGGAGCACCATTTTCCCTGTACGAAGTCTAGACAGTATATGTTGCACACTTGGACCATTTATTTGATATAAGCTTTTCCTATTACATATGTAAGTGAACTTTTGTGATTTTATATGTGTATTGACTACTGTACAGCTGAATCATTAGTGCTGACAATTTCACCTTTCTGTAGTTCTGATTTGGTAACCTGAGTAAAATAGACAAGTATCTCAAGAGGCCTCTTCATTCAGACATGTTTGTAGAATAAAATTCCGTTCTTAGTGCCTTAAGTCATCATTACGTTAGAAAGTTTTAATGAAGTATTGAAGATTGAACAGACCTCACTAGTACTATGTTTACTGACAAACTCATCATCTAATCTGCCATCTTGTGTTCTTTGTTATTACATGTCAATCACATGTAAATGTGAAGTGTTCATTTCCACCTGAAAGATGTAGGAGTGATAGGTAGTACTCATCTGTTACCCAAGTTAAATAGCAAAAATCCAGCTGTTTCAAGGATGTATATAACCCTTTTCCATATATGTATATGTGAATGAAACCAAATTCACTTTTTTAATAATAGGGTTTTTCAAAACTCTTGAGATGCTAAAGCAATCTCAGAGCTCTTAGTGATATCTCTGAGAGTTTGCAGGGCTTAGGTGAGGTGACATCCGCCTATAAAATTTATTGTTGCTTTTTAAAAAGGCAGGAAATGGGTGACCCAAGGGAGTAGGTGGCAGTCAATCTATCTTGGATACCAAGAAAATACTAAACGAGTGATGAATTTCTAAACACCTAGACAATAACAGAGTACAAAGAGAGATGGATTTGAGAACAGGCTTCTGATTTTTTTTGCTGTGACAGACCATGAGAGTAAGGAATAAGGAAAAGATACCATGCATCCTAACTTTCAGATGCATTCCATAGTGTTTTAAATTCTGATGTTGCAGTGACAGAAGAAAAAATCAGTAATTGTTAAACACATAGGAATATGGATTTGTTTTCAACCCTCAATATTTCAGGCCATCCGCCATCATTCTCATCAGACTCTTAAAATCATTAAGAGAATGATAAAGTTCTGGCCATCACTTGCTGATTACTTTTCATGTCCTTATGTAACATAAGTGGAAATATAGACTTGAAGCCTTTTAAGATGATTGCACAGGAGCTGGGGGAGTAGACTTCATGTGAATCTATCAAAGTGTTTAACTTACAGAACATATAAAAGGCATTTTCACAGCTATGAAGAATGTTTCACATATCATTAAAATACTTTTCAGTTATATTAGTATTTCCATGAAGTAAAAGGATTAATAAGATGAATCCTTGATGCATCTTCTGTAAGTAACTGTCATGGTTTAACCCCAGCTAGCAACCAAGAACCATGCAACCGCTCACACACTCCCCCACCAACAGGATGGGGAAGAGAATCGGAAGGGTAAAAACTAGGAAAGCTCATGGGTTGAGATAAAGACAGTTCAATAGAGAAAGCAAAAGCCACACACAGGCAAAGCAAATCAAGGAGTTAATTCACTACTTCCCACAGACAGGAGGTGTTCAGCCATCTCCAGGACAGCAGGGCCCATCATGTGTAACGGTTCCTTGGGAAGACAAACACCATCAATCCAGATGTCTTCCTCTTTCTTCTTCCCACCTTATATACTGAGCATGATGCCATATGGTGTGCAATATCCCTTTGGTCAGACCTGTCCTGACTGTGTCTCCTCCCAGTCTCCCATGCACTCCCAGCTTTCTTGCCAGCGTGGCAGTATGGAAAACAGAAAAGGCCTTGGCTCAGCAAAACTCTGCTCAGCAATAACAAAACCATCTTTACATTATCAACTCTGTGTTCTGCACAAATCCTAAACATAGCCCCATGCTAGCTGCTGTGAAGAAAGTTAACTCTGCTTTAGCCCACACCATCACATTACCTCAGGTCTTTACCTTTGGCATTTTTTTGGGAGGGGTTTACTAGTTTGGGTTATGACTAGTATTTTGCATTGGGTGCAACTACTGTTTGGATTGTATCCTACTGTTTTGTAGGACAATTATAATGTTACTATATTGAAGAAATGGTGTAAAATAAATCTTACCAATTTCAACAGAGATGGGTAGAACTTAGAGAGGAATTGTCAGTTATGCACACATAATTTGAGTCTTACCTAAGCAGTAGCTCCTGTTGCCAACTGCAGTTCTGACCACTGGTCAGAACCTGAACATAAGTCATCAATTCTGTAGAGCCTGAAACATCACACCAGGATGTTTAAGCCTTGTACTGAAAGTAAAGCTGGAAAAAAAGTACAGAACGGTCTTTCTTCTCTCTTCAGCTTTGGTGAGAGCCTAGATGAAGAACTGACTGTGAACATACATTCAAAAAAATCTTGTGCCTGAATGGGGTGGAAGAAAACAAGGGGTGCAACTGAAACTACAATAAACCAAAATTCTTTTACTCATTCCTGATAGATCTCGGTCATTCCACATGGGCAGATTGTAAAGATTTAACCTTCTTAGTGTAGCCAAGGGTAGGCAGAAAAAAAAAATAGCATTTGTCATGTTAAATTATATGTGTATGATTAAGAGTAACGCAATCAATTGCCATTTGCTCACTTTAGGTACATGATGACTTGTAGAAGTTATCAGCAGAAGTTAACATTAATACCAGAAAATTTTATGGATTTTTGCTTCTAAAATTAGGGAACTACAGGAATAGGATATATAGAGATTTTATAGAAGCAGCTTCTTAACAATTTTTAAAAAACATGGTAGACCAACATTTTTCAGGATTATTTGAAGAAGACCTGATTGTGCCCTGGGGCAGAAGGATAAAATAGACACTGAAGTTTGTTTTTCTATAGCTTGCTTGCTTGTTTGAACAGTATTATTCATTGCAAAGCAATCTGACTTTAGTTCTCTTTGGAGAAAAATTTATCAGTTTGATATACATCTTAAATGTATTAGTATATTTTTGCTTGTATGGAACCTCATTGCTGACATCAGCATCATAGAAATTGATAATCCTTATTTGATCCTGTTTGTCACTTTAGGATAATGTTTCTATCCCCTCAGAGTTTGGACAATAACCTTAAATTATCCTAGCAGCTTTCAATTTAGAATAATACAATACTATTAGCTAATTTTAGCATTAAACTTAAAATAATGTGGTTTGCTTTTAAGTAATCTTCTGTACATCATTTAGAAAAGACAATTCAATATACTGCTTCCCAAAGTACTACTTTTAAAAATTTGCAATTTATATTAGTCATACCAACCTGCAGCTTAAAGTTTTAGGCTTCCTTTGAATTAAATGCATAAAGTTCTTTTATGAATCAATTTTAAAATTTCTATAGTGTTTTTTTCATATAATCATTGAATACCAGGTTGAAAGGAGACCTGAAGAATCATCTAGTCCAACCTTTCTAGGCAAAAGCACGGTCTAGACAAGACGGCCCAACACCCTGCCCAGCTGAGTTTTAAGTGTGCAGTGTAGGGGAGCACACCACTTCCCTGGGGAGATTACTCCAATGGCTGATAGTTCTGAGCGTGAACATTTTTCCTCTTGTGTCTCATGAGACTCTTTCCAAGGGTAACTTGTA